TGGATATGATGGCATGCTTTGCTTTCTCCTCCTTTTAGCTTCGATTTATTTCTAGAGGGGACAGTTCTCGGATTGTTGATTTAGCATTTGCTTTTTATTTTCTCTTTTACCGCATGGTTTGCATTTTGTTTGAGGGTTTTCCGATGAGTCTATTGACAATAATGAAATCATTTATGGTATTTAAAGTATAAAAAAATTGTCCTATTAGTTTACTTTAAACCAAATTTATATCGGAACTAAATTTTACAATTGCGCGAAAGTCTGATGAATATTATAAATGGTGATATCAGACAAAACAAAATTTCAATATGCATGTTACATCCAGTAGGACCAATACCATAGAAAACTATAAAACCTAAATAAGGAAAAGTGTTGTCGTTTATGGGTCGCAACATACCCGAGAATAAAAAGAAGTGATCACGATCTCTGGGATTCATATTTAAAAGATTAATGATGGTCATCATGATTAATGAGAGAGAGATTAAGAAATAAAATTTGAATGGGTGAAATAAAGAAGAGACATGCTTAATTGATGATGATGCAGCTTGGCATTAACTCGGTGTAGATGGCTCACATTGTCTCCTTAATGCTCCTTTGTTTTTGTATTTTTCTTGGCACTTTCAAATGAAAAAGATTGTTTCCTTCTTGTTATCCTTTTTATTGTTTAGATACGGTTATGACTCTTCACTAATATTGTAAACTCTTGTGAATTTTTTAGAGCCCACAAAATCCAAATTATTTTGTTGCTTTTGATTCAATGACAAATTGAATCGAAGTTATGACCCCAATGTAGGGTTATGTATGTTTCCATTAAATACGACTTTACAATGCACACATATAATTCAATAAATATCTCATAGTCTCACATAAATAAATATACTATAACCTTCTAAAAAATTCTGTCGCTCTACATGCTCCAAGGATTAATCTAGGATATGCCTCAATGCCCTACGATTATAAAACAAATAAAAAGAAACGACTTAGCTATCATATATATGTATTACCAATGGGTAGTTCAACTATTAACAAAAGGAAATAAAACAAATAATAAGAAAAATCATATGCTATATAACCATATCAGTTGATTACATACTTGTAGTTGTATCAATTGTAAGGATGTGACAATGCTTGTGTCGTCGACTAGTCGAGTGAACGAGTACACACACGATAAACGCAAGACATTTCCGATATAATAGGAAGAGAGACGACAAAGGGATCACCGAAAAAAGCAGCTATAGAAGTGTGAGACTAAGCAAATCCCTAGAAATATCAATTAGGTTCAATTTGTTGGTACTTCCTTGATTCACACATTATATGCGTCTTAAGTTCGACTTATTGCAACACTATTCAGTTAGATAAAGAATTTTTGTAATCTCGTGCTTTCCGTAGTTTTATCAGAAATGAATCATATAGTTTTTCCAGAACAAAATTCATCAACAGAAAAGACCAAAAAAAGTATGCAATTGTTTGTATAAGTATACGTAATCATATAAGTTGACTAGTATAACGTAGATTGAGCCTATATACGTTGGAAAAGCATGAAAACTCATCGATCCATATTTGTCGTTGTAAAAAAATGTTTAGATAAACTATATTTTATATAAAGTTTTGTACTATATATAGATTATCTCGTTTTCGTAATGGAATATTTTCAAAAGAGCTGAGAATACAGCGAATGGACTTTTGGGGTGATTTAAAAAAATGGGGCCATGATTATCGTAAGTGCGTAGTAATGAATTACGCATTAAGCAACCGAAAGAAAGTTAAAGAGGAGTTAACTAAGTCGGGACTCCAAATTAATAATGTACACTGAAAATGCCCTTTGCTTCATTTTAGGGTTATGATTACAATATGAGCTGTAGTTTAGAAGTTCATACGTTATTATCATACCAAATTACATCAACACTCAGACGGATTTGGTACATATGGTTGTGCCTAATCAAGAACCTAAATTTATACATACATGTTTTTTAAACATATATGTTGGCTAAGCTCTATTGCTTTTAAAAATTAAAGATTCCATAAGCTCATTAATTACATTTCCAAGATTTGGGGCGTGGATTAAGTATGTATAATTGTATATCATCAGTGTATTTTGTGTTCCCAAAGATCAATCATATAGTCCTTTAAGAATCATATTCTACATCAACTGGACTTAAGATTATAATTGGTTATAAACTTACATAACCGTAGTTAGAAGATAGTCTTTGAAAAGATATATAAAACATTAACTTAACTGCAATATAAGATAGTCTTTGATCATGGCTGGATTGACCAAGAAACATGTACATATAACCTCCTCAGTACAATGCATATATGAAGTAATCACTCACCACTAGTACAAAAATCGTTCAATATCTTGACAATCTGTAAGTTTATCGAAAGGTTATTGTGTAGATGCTAAATAAATTTCAATGATTTTCGCTCAATGAATGTCACATTAATAAAGGTTAGGTGTAGATGCTATTTCTACATCACAAATCTAGTGTTCTTTTTCTTAAATAAAGAAAAAGATAGGTACTATACCGCAGATTAAAAGAAGACAAGTGAAACACGACTTCCGATATCCATATTCCAACTAGGATACAAAAATATACAACTAACGTTTTCAATAGACAATTAGTTTAATAGGAATTGTGACGAAAACATGTAGTCCTATCGCCTCCTTTAAGCAAATAGCTAAACTAAAATAAAGATATAAATGTTACCTATCTAGGACCGTGGCCAATTATCTTTGACCTCTAAAGCAAAGTGTGCCGCCTTCTTTCTTTCTTACATCAAATTCTAATGACTTTGGGAAAATGTAAATAAAAGTGGATATTCGTAATGTTCATCGCGATAAGAGATGCAAATGAGATCAATCATTTTAAAAAGTTTGTCCCACAAATATATGCTTCCAATGATGAAATGATTATGTGGAAGACATAGGAAGGTTTTCACTTTTCACCAACTACTTTCATTATTCCCCCACATATTGTCTAAATATTATTGGCATCATCAATCCTAACTTTTGTGTTTTCTTTTCCTTGCATCTTCTTATTTTACATGATTAAGAAATCTGGGATTGGACTAATTTTTTTTGGTTGTAACACCTGGGACTGGACTAATTATATACAACCTACAGTGTATCATTTATCAAGTCGTGTTTTTAAAGTTAGTCTATGAATGTGTACTGGAAAGAATGATCGTAATTTTTTCTTCAGAAATATAATTATTAATGACTATAATCAGGTTTCATAAACAATCTTGTACGTGCTATTTTTCCTTTTGACATTTTGGCGTCCCAATTTATATAAATAGCAGTTAGTGAAATAATATCTTGGCTGGCTTGGGTATGTGATGGAATTTGGAAGTGCATATATTTCCGTAGTAGACGCCTCGTTTTGTTGTTCTTTCCGTTACATTACGTTACGGGTTTCATTTCAGTTCCTCTCGCAGAGTGCAAAACTGTAAATGAAGTCTTTTAAAGTATTATTTGAAGTAGGCCTGGGAATATTATCTATAATCCGAAACCGAACCCGAACCGAAAAACCCGAACCCGACCGATTATGGATCTTTTAAAATATCCTATTAGGTTTGATATGCTGATACTTTGGTTATCGGATTCGGGTTGGCTGTAATCCAATATCCGAACTAAAACCTGAAATAACCGATTATATGTATAATGTACAGTAAGTATATACACGTATTACTCATTATTTGATTTTGACAATTTCCAAGAAAGAACAACCACACTTTGTTATTTTCAATTCTAAGACACAACTAAGTCTAGACACAACCTCACCTTTCATAATAACCTTAGGGGCGATTCCTCTTCTTCTAGTTTCAAAAACCTAATCTCCTATTAAAATAAGGTGTTTGATCGAAGAGTATGTTCAGAAACACAAACAGGCAATTCTCTTTATCTCCTCCACCATCTTTGATTTCAAGAACTCAATCCGAGGTAAGGACTTGATTTTCAGAAATCAATCTGAGTCATCTTTGTCATATGAATCATAGTAATCTGTTTCTGGTTTTGTCTCAGTTTGTTTTCCATTTTAAAACTTTATGTTGCTATTATCGGTATTAGTGTGTTGTTGCAAACATTTTTACTAAGTTTGAGTTTATTAATTTTGAGAGACATGTTTCTTAGTTCTTATCTAGTCAACTTATGATTGTTTGTTTATTTGTTTTCTTTGAATTTTACTTTAGTTAATCCGAAACCGATACAGTAAAACCCGAACCCAAATGATATATGGTAACTTCAGTATAATCCGAACCCGAACAGAAACCGATGTGTTATATCCGATCCCGATCCAAATTTAAGAATTTCTTAAAATGAGATCTAAGAGGTGTTAAAAAAAGAACCGATATCCGATATACCCGATCTGAATCCGAACGGGTACCCGAACGCCCATGCCAATTTGAAGTATCAAATAAACTAGAAAGGAGAGACCCAAAATGTCTTGTGGGCTCGGAACTGTAGTCCACTAATCGAGACTATATGGTTGAAGGATTATATACAAAATCGTTGGAATAGGGAACAATAAAAATGGTCTCGTCTATACAGACACGCCAGGCTTGTAATTTAAATAACATGTTATTATGGTTTTAGGAGTATATAATACGAGTCATGTCCACGTAAAGCTACTATGGTTTTGTTTCGAATGAGAAAATAACTGCTAATCTTGACTCTGTTTTCTACGCTAAGCTCAATATTTCTCTATCCACCTGGTGGCATGGTGCAGACGATGATCCTACTTTTAGTGACATCCACAGCTTAAATATATAAGCCTGGGACCTAAACACAGCTTCTTTAAAGCTACTTCAAATCTCAGACATCATATGTCTCGATTTTGGTATGATTGTTACTCTCTTTAAACAATTGCATTATTCTCTCCTTTTCTTAAGATGTATAAATGGGCTCTGAAACTAGTAATGGGCTCCGTAAGCCCATAGAAAACAGATATGACCAAATAAAGTGTTCAACTTACCTTTTTCTTCTTCTTCTCCAATTTCAGATTTGATCCAATCGCCTACGGAAACTAAAGTAGGAAACTGCTACAAATCAAAGGTATGATTAGAACTCAAAAAGACTCATGAAAACACTTCGATTTTATGGAATTGATTGAATTTTCTGATGGTTGATTGTGAAAAACCTCAGAAAGTGGATCCATGGCTGATGTACAGCTAAAGAAAAGAGGATACATCTGGGCAATCTCTGCTGGGTTCAATGCAGCTCTTGCTGCCATCTCTGCAAAGTTCTTCTCATCTCTTGTAATAATAATATCAACATTTTCTTAGCTTCATTTGTTTAAATCTTTGTAATTGATTAATTTACTTTTATAAGTTTAATCTTTCAACAGGTGATTAAGTATGGATTAGTTGTGTTATGCAATGTGGTAATGTGGGGATGTTATGTAAACAGCTTAAGAGCTCTCTCTTCTCTACAAGCTACCGTCACAAACTTTGCTGCTAACTTCCTCTCTTCCGGTTTAGCTGGCCTCTTTCTGTTTCAGGAATCCTTGTCATTCCGTGTAAGTTGTTTTTTTCTTTATTGTTTCTTATGTCATGCCGATTCCGAAACTTGTAATTGCTTTTACGTTTTGTGATATATTTGGCGTTGTTAGTTGATACATTTTCCAATAAATAATGCAGTGGTTTGCAGGAGCTTTATCGATCACCATTGGAGTTGTAATCCTTAGCAAGTCAAGTGTTGATAAGAAGGTTAGTACGGATTAGTTCAAGAACCTATATGATAGCTTCGCTTCTGGGGAAGGCTGCTTAAGAAAAACTCCTTGTTAAGAGATGGATTAAGTTGTAGAGTTTATTCTGTTAAGGACCAAACTTGTAATAACTACGATTGATTTTCCTGATTTTGTTGAATTGTGATTAGACACTACTATAATAATGTCAAAGATACAACAGTCTACTGCACGGGTCTTCTTATGCTTTTCATTAAAATCAAACATGCAGAGGCAAGAAACTAATGCATAACTCGTACTACAATGCATAACTTTCTAATGACAATATATTCGGTTGGATTAAAGAACCAGCCATGTCGTGGTGTTTACTTGACATATTTTTCAATAAAAATATGGACAATTCTGTTTCATAAATCATATGTTAACATACCTGTAGTCATGAAACGATTACTGGATTTTAATCTACAAATTTCTTCTTTTTCCGTTTCCATTTAATAGAAAAATTACTATAGATGTGGACAGTTCTACACTTCTTAAACGAAACATTTTTTATTTGTTCAGAGTTCTTTTTCTTTTGAATTCACTCTTTTTATGTTAACTAGAGTGATACGCACGGATTTTTTGATAGTAGTGGTTTTCTGGCGGTACACGCCGGTTTTTCTAATATTAATATAGTTTCGTTGTGGTTTTATAATTCCAAACATTTTTCGATATTATTTTAGAAAAAATATGTATCGGTGATATAGAGATCTATCAATTTATTAATTTGATTGTAATCTCTGTATAGTTGATTTTGAAGTTATTATAAAATAAATTTAAGTTTAAAATTTTACATGACACTTTAAGTTTAAATATATGCATGGCAATCTAAGTTTTACATATGCATAAAATTTTGAAAGTGTAATAGCCAAATTATTTATTGTTTAATTGAAAATGTTTAAATTTAATTACATATACTATTGCTTTAAAATATGGACTTCATTATTTATTCAGCTTATTTTGCATCATCATTTGGTATCTTTATTAGCCACAACTATTTTTCGTATCCTCTTGTTCTTAATATCATAATTTGTTTACAGCATACTAGATATTCCTAAGCATGGAACAAACTATACTACATCTTCTTGTGAAGATAAGTAACAGATATCAAGTATTTCTAAACTAATACGTTTTTTCTACTTTAGTTTGTTAGGGTTAATTTTGAGAACTTGTTTCATCATTGTTGGTGTTGTATACAAATCATCCGATCAGTTTTTTTCTTGTTGAGAAAAAACCTTCATATCGTCCAATCAGTTAATTTATTTTATTCTTCACAATATGAATTGCATATGTTCCAAAGAGAAAAAAAATTGCAAGTTGAATTGTTTTAAAACTGATTAATGTATCTGTGTGGGTGATGGGTTGATCACTTTTTCAATGAACACCAACACACCGACCAGCTTTTAATTTTTATTTCATTTTATGCATATATCTAGGTATTTCTTTTGTCAAATATAAAATCCAATATAAAATCTAATTCAAAATCAAAATAAATATAAAAAGAGATAATTTGATAAATATTCTATAAATCATTTAATTTTAAATTAGCTTTTTTTTTAAAAAAACTACCCTTTTTATGTATAATTGGTAGAACATTTTAATCCTAATTTGAATTACATTTAAAACTATTAAGAAGTAGATTTTAAATTCAAGTTTATTATTTTTCCATTTGAAATTGATGATATATGTTTGAGATAAATACATATTAGTATTTTAAAAACAACTGTATAAATTTTCTGAAAATCATAAGGGTTTCTTTAACTTTTTCAGTTTAAAAAACTCTAAAAATCATTTACACAACAGCATTGTAATCATATTATATTATTTATTCATATAATCTTATAACGTTTTCCACTAAGTGAATAATTATTATTAAACAAAATTTTGTTATAAGTTCAAATGAAATCCAGCTTCCACAGCTAAGCAAAACATTGAAGCTAAATAAAGCTAAGAGTGAACATTAAAATCCACTTAATCATATTATATTATTTATTCATATAATCTTATAACGTTGTCCACTAAGTGAATAATTATTATTAAACAAAATTTTGTTATAAGTTCAAACGAAATCCAGCTTCCACAACTAAGCAAAACATTGAAGCTAAATAAAGCTAAGAGTGAACATTAAAATCCACTTAATCTGAAAAAACAGATGCATATTTTTCAAATACGATTTTGGTTGAGCTAATTCTTGTTGGAATTGAAAAGTTCCCATGTTTGTACATAGTACTTCTCTCCGGCTTCACTTTCCATCCTCCAGAATATATAAACTGTTACATAACAAAAACAAATGAATAAAGGGAGAGAGAGTTAATCATTCACTGATAAACCTCGAGCATGAAACAAATGTTTTGTGGTGCAATCTCGACCTCAAACTTAACAGAACAGTTGAGTCCAATAGTATGTTACAGTGCAAACGAAATAATGTTTACTACTGAATCGGTGGATGTTTGCCGGAAGCACTTGTTAGTCAAGGAGAAAGTAGTACCTGGTGAAAGGTGGTAATGATGAAGAATACAAGTTTATTATTACAACTGAGCCATGTTTCCGAGAGTAAACTGGAGGTGGAGTTGGATACTTCTCAACATGATGAACCAGGTCATTCCTAGATGGCAAGTAATTGCCAGTAACATAAGCTTCTAGTAAGATAACAATATTCTAGTTTCAAGTTCAATATAAAGGTACTGATAGAGGCATAAACATACAATGTAAAGAGCCATAGATATGCGTTTAGATATTTTCATGTTGAGCAGGACCCACTTGACAAGTATACTGTAAACACGGTTCACTTTGGTTGGATCAATCTTCAACAGGCTGTATGCATCCAAAATTTTCGTCATATTCCCTTTGAATGTCTCATTGTAGATCACTTGCTGCATTCTATAGATAAACCGGTGGAACCAACTTTGCTTCGTTGCACAGTGACAGACGCTTCTCCTGCAAAAACAAATAAACAACTCTTCTTTCAGTTACAACGCAAAACTCAGCTCACGTTTCACGTATTTAGTGTCTCAAACCCTTACAACTGTAAGACAGCAGCTGCAACTCCACGAATCTATCAGGTCCAAATCATTCACATAGCTTGAAAAGGCTTGCATAAGAGGTGTACACCCCATTTATCTTTGTTCTCTCGCTTCCTCTTCTTCCCCACATACCTCTTTGCTTCAGCCGTCGAACAACAATCAGCCACTTAAGCTTCATGCTCCACCCAATCCAATATCCTGTCACATCCTTTTTTATCAACTTCCTTGTTTTTTTGAACAACAATCCGACACTTTGGCAGGTACTACACGGTCACTACAATATCCTGTCACATGCCCCTTTCTGTTTGCGTAACAGTGAAGATATTCATCGCATCTACAAACAAATATATAAGCGGAGCTTCTAGCGTTACATTTGACAATGCAAAAAAGTGGGAGGAATTATGTGAACCATGTAAATGCTTGATTTAATACGATAGAACAATGATGAATGTAACCGTTACCCAGGCTTAGGCGGAGCCAATGTGATCTCAAGAGATACGATAGTTTTGCAACAAAATCTCCACCGGCGACAATGATTAAAACCCTAAAGATTAATGGGTTTGTCTGCATACTCTATGAGGGACTTAAAGGCCAAACATAAACTATCTATAATGAAAACAAAATGCAAACAAAAGGCCCAGCTCAGACAAAAGCATAAAATCATTCGAAGGCTGAATTTTTTTTTTTTTAAGATGCCACGTGTTCAAAAAAACCCCATGCTCTGTTAGTGATGTGGCATAAGGAGAAGGCAGATAACCCAACTTTATTAGTATAGATTTGTCTTATTTAGATTTGTAAATCTTTGTGTTGATTTGTTGTATAATTTGAAATGCATATCATATTTTTTGTTATTAGTGTTGACGTGGAAGTATTCTAATTAAAGAGATCGAAAACACAAAAGTTTATAAAACAGTTCCTTCGTTTTATTTATCTTTCTTTGCTTTCATGTATATATTGTTGTAGAGATCTTCTTGCATTAGATCCCTTTATATAGGTAATAGAAACTACTTAAGTTATCCTATTACATGTTAATCTAGGAATCTTATCTTTATCCTAAATCTATTAAGTTATTCTTCTTATCTTTAATAACTTAATCTCTAAGTAACTCTTTTGAAGCTTATCCAACATTCTCCCTTCTAAGCTTCAAACCATTTTCACTTAGGTCTTGTACTTTAAATCAGCTCCCTCATCTCTTTGAACTTGATCCTTGCTAACGCCTTGGTTAGTATGCCTGTGCGTTGCTCTCTTCCTGGTACGTGTTCGACATCAATAAGCTCCCTTTCAATGCACTCTCGAATGAAGTGAAAGCGTTTGTGAATGTGTTTACTCCGTCGATGGAAAACCGGGTTCTTGGCAAGTGCAATAGCCTATTTGTTGTCTACACGGATCAGTGTCCTTTTAGCTGTTCTTCTTGTGATCTCACTCATCAAGTCTTGAAGCCAGATAGCTTGTTTAGCAGCCTCTGTTGCTGCCATGTATTCGGCTTCACACGAGGATAGAGCGACAACTTCTTGTTTATGCGAGCACCAAGAGATTGGTGTGTTACCGAGACAGAACACATGACCAGTAGTACTTCTTCCATCATCTGGATCAGTGTTGTGGCTGCTGTCGCTGTATCCTACAAGTTCTTGAGATCCTCCATGTTTAAACTTCAACCCGTAACCATAAGAGCCCTTTAAGTATCTCATTACTTGCTTTAGAGCTTTCCCATGTGACTCTCTAGGAGAATGCATATACTTAATATGCCAACACTAAACGCCATGTCTGGACGTGTATGCTTTAGGTATCTCAAGCATCCTATTCTCCTTTTGTATTCACTTGCATCTATTTCTGGTTCCTCCATTGCTTTCGTAAGTTGCAGACCAAACTCCATTGGTACATATACTGCGTTGTAGTTATCCATCTTTGCTTCCTCCAATATGCGGTGAGCATATGCTTCTTTCTTAATCATAATACCATCTGTGCTCTGCTTTACTTCATTGCCGAGATAGTAAGTTAACAAACCTAAGTCAGACATCTCAAATTTTTCGGACATTGATGCATTAAACTCCTTGATTGTCTGCAACGAGTTTCCAGTAATAAACAGATCATCGACATATATGGCTAGTATAAGTAGCTTATCCTTTTCTTCCTTGCGATAGACTGAGCTTTCCTTAGTTCACTTCTTGAATCTCAATCCCTTCAATATCTGATCAAGTTTTGTGTTCCAGGCTCTAGGAGCTTGTGGAAGTCCGTACAAGGCTTTCCTTAATTTGTAAACCTTGTGTTCCTCGCCTTTCTTCTCAAACCCTTCCGGCTGTGATACATACACTTCTTCGATCAACTCGCCATGTAAGAAGGCTGTTTTCACGTCTAGGTGATGGATCTCCCATCTCCTCACAGCAGCAATTCCAATGAGAAGTCTTGTAGTTTCTAACCGTGCCAGTGGAGCAAAGACTTCGTCGTAGTCTATGCCGTGCTCTTGAACATACCCCTTTGCAACAAGCCTTGACTTAAACTTGTTGATGCTACCATCGGCATTACGCTTGATCTTGAAGACCCACTTGAGTCCTATTATCTTTACTCCGTATGGCTTCTCCACAAGAACCCATGTTTCATTCTTATCAATTGAGTCAATCTCATCCTTACATGAAAGTCTCCAACGCTTATCCTTTAGAGCCTCTTGTATGGTCATCGGTTCATCATTCAAAGCGAGTAGTAATACTTCACACTCAACGTCAGCGAGCAGAATGTAATCTTTAAGATAGCCAGGTGCATTAACCACACGAGATGACCTTCTCAACTCTTACACGGGACCTTCTTCTTCTTCTCCCGGTTCTGGAATTATCTCCTCTGTTTCTTCATTAGAGTTCTCCTCTGTTTCTTAAACAGTGTTATCGCTAGCAGCTCCAATGACAAAAGGTCCAGCGCTATTATCTTCTGTAGTTCCCCATGTCATATGGAACATACCAGACTCAGGTTGGATTTGCTCGGTTTGGACTTGTTTACCTTCTCCCTTCCAATTCCAACGAGCCTTCTCGTCAAAAGAACATCCCTACTCACAATAACTTTCTTCGTTGTAGGATTTTAAAGACTGTAGGCTTTGGTTCCTGGTTCAATACCTAGATGAACAGCAGCTTCTGATCTGTCACCGAGCTTTCTTAACTGACCTGCATCCTTCTTTGAATATGCCATACACACAAAGACCCTTAGATGAGACACACTCGGTTTCTTTCCTCTTATACACTCGTATGGAGTTTGTTTTGTTAATGCTCTCGTAGGTACACGATTAATCAGATATGTGGCGTGATGAACTGCCTCTCCCCATAAATAATTAGGTACACCCATTGCCTTTAGCATGCTTCGTGTCATCTCCATGAGTGTGCGGTTTCTACGTTCCACCACTCCGTTTTGTTGTGGCGTATACGGTGCTGTTAGGTGTCTCCGTATTCCATTGTTGTTGCAGTAGGTGTTGAACTCTTGTGAAGTAAATTCTCCTCCTCTGTCTGTGCGTAGTGTTACTATCTCTTTGTTGAAGTCCTTCTTGACAAGTTTCTTGAATACCTTAAACCTGTCGAATGCATCACTCTTTTCTTTCAACAATATCGACCACATATACCTTGAGCAGTCATCAATGATCACAAAGATGTAACAATTTAGGGAGAGATTTTCAGGCGTGATTGGACCACAGAGATATGCGTGCAGCAGCTCAAGAGGACGAGATGCTCTAAACGTTGTTGCCTTTGGGAAAGCCTGTCTTGCTTGCTTTCCTACGAGACACGAATCACAAAGTTGTCTTTCTTCACTTATCTTTGGCAGACCAAGGACCATTCCTTCAGTTGCCATTGCTTTGACCGTTTTAAAACTAACATGACCAAGTCTGGCGTGCCATCTCCATGGTTCCTCTTCCATTCTAGTGAGTCCACACTGCTCTTCCTACCTGTAACTTTATCTTATATAGCCTGTTTGCAGATCTTAATACCTTCGCAAGCAATCTACCTTCAGGATCTTTTAGAGTCAAGTAGTTGTCTCTCATACGAACATCAAAGCCTTGCTCAGTTGCTAGTCCCAAAATCAGAATATAACTCTTTAACTCGAGTATGAAATATATATATGTCAACAACTTTTGTTCTCCTGTCTTAGCTTCAAAGAGAATTGAACCTTTTCCATTGATGTTGACATATGATCCATCTCCGAACTTCACTTTTCCTCTGATATTTTCAGTTATCTCAGAGAAATAAGATCTTACTCCTGTCATGTGATTAGACGCACCGTTGTCTAGATACCACACATCCTCGTCTTTCTTGTCTGCTTCAAATTTCTTTGGTATCACTTTTCCTTCGTTTAAGGACACAACCTCATGTGTATATAAAGCAGCATCTGACATCTCAGTTTCTGCTTTGTTGAGTTCTTGGTCTTCTTTCTTTTCTGGACGAACGGAGGCAAAGTGGCCCTTTTTATGGCAACTAAAGCATTCAATTTGAGAGTAATCTCTTTTCTCCTTTCTATCACCGCCACTGCTTCTACCACGTCCCCTTCCTCTATTCCCACAACCTCTGTTGGAACCGCGTCCTCTTCCTCTGGTTCCATGATCTGGGTAAAGAAGCTTTCCCTGTTCTTCAAGTTTTTCTCCTCGCATTCTTTCTTCTCCACGCAAACGCTCCTCAAAAGCTTTGAGACGACCCACCACATCTTCATATCTTGTGTTGTTTAAGTCGAGAACATGTTCTAAAGTTGCGGAGAGCTGAAGAAATTTACTTGGAAGACAAGACAAGAACTTCTTTACAAGTTTCGCTTCTTATATCGTATGACCAAGTGTTGCAGCTGTTCCCACAAATTCTGATAATTTTCCTGAGAACGTATATATAGAATCGTTATCCTTCATTCTCAGATGATCGAAATCAATCATCAGTGTGTGTAGACGGGCTTCTATCACTCGATCAGCTCCAATATTCACCGCCTTCAATACTTCCCACATACCTTTGGGAGTGTCTTGATCACCAACTTGCAGAATTAGATTCTCTGGTATGCCTTGAAAAAAGAGGACCATAGCTAGGTCATTCTTCTTTTGGTCCTTTGATCCTGGATCAATGGTTTCCCATACATCATGAAACCTTAATAGAACCTTCATTCTCATAGACCATACGACATAATTGGTTATTGTCAGCATCAGTGTTTTAACAGAGGGTGGTACTGCAC